TAAAATGAAAGAAATCGGATGTTAATGAAAGAGAGCAATTATATCGTTATTTCACACGACCTGAATCTATGAAAAAGAATGGAGAGAAAATACTTTGGAAATATCTTTCGGAAACTACGTTCAGCGAGATAAAATGAACGCTAAAGCACTGTGTTTTACGTAGTTACATTCTAGTTAACGTGGTTGAGATTACTTCGACATGTATGCGCGACATGTAACTCACATGCGTGTCATCGCATATGGCATTACAAATTCAAATGCAGCACTCATATTGTCAGAGTTATGTTCCCCAGAGGTGACTTGTCACAGGGTCGACATTTCAGAACGCGCAACTATAACCCCTTGTACCGATATGTAAATACAGCCGATGGAGATCTCGCGGAAGTCTCACTGGAGCACACAGAACAGTGGACTGTATCATCTAGTGATTGAAATGCAGATCTCGATGCAGATTAATGACATCCCAAAGTAGATGCGTGCTCGTCGATCCGTTAGACGTGCTTGCCTACTCTGACAGAAATGATATAACGCTCGTGATCCTCGGAGCTTCCATAAGATGATATATGTAAACCTCACGTCGCACAATCATCATACATACTTTCATAAAAACGCATTTCTTTCTCATAAAAGTTCAATAATAATCATAAAATTATAAATTCATGTATAATTTTATGTGTAATTTTAGTTTTCGTATAATTTATTATAAGTATACACACAGAAAGAAAAAGTTTACTAAAGTATCTAAAAATGTAGTTAAGTACAGAAAATAATTTTGTTATTGGACTAAAATACGAGTATGTGTAGAACGCTTAAGCGTTTATTATGTTACAAAAAGTTTTAACATTCTAACAATCAGTTTAAACTATATAATTATTTTAATGGTCCAAATATAATTATTTCCAAATCTGTATCTATAATGTATAATTAAATTTATACTTCACAAAACTGTTCTTTTTGTGTACATATATAAAAACTGCACATATATATTCTTAAATACTTTATACTTAATTATATTACATTTTTAATTACATTAATTACATTACACTCACTAATTTTAAAACATGAATGTATAATCTTCTCCCATCGAAGTTTTCCTCACTTTTACGTTTAGGAATGAATTAAGATAAAAAATGTACAAAAATATTTAAAATGCATTTTGAGAGGAAATGGAGGATATCTAAAATTTCATAAACAGGATTTGTCTCTGCAGTAACTCGATAAAGACCTCTCACACAAACAGCACGAACGCATTCGCATCGTGCTTTGCACGCCGCAAATAAGGACTGACTTACAATAGCAAATCGATTTTCCAATAAAATCTATTTGCGCGTTCTGCATCGATAATTATTACATCATAAAGCAAAGCGCACTATAATAAAATTCGTTTCAACGCTCTGTAAGGAGAGTTTCAAGTTATATTATTAAATTTCGTTGGCAGAATACTAAATTAATTGAAAATAACTACACGTAGTAATTTTCACTGACATATTTCAGTATGTAAAATAGAGATTATATAATACTCTTATTTAAATTAACAATACGTACAATATTCTACTTGTAGAAAGGCTCTGAAATCTTTTCATTGCAAAATGGTACTAAAAAGACTTGTTAAATAACGTCATTACCAATTTTATATATCCAGCTTTGTTCGGAACTTCTTAATGGATCTCAATGTCGAATATGTAAGTTAGACGTGCGCTGTGCTTTGCGTAACTGTTTTTGTCAAAGGAATATGTAGGTATAAAAGCGAGTGATATCTAATTAGCGGTCAGTTCTGCCAGCCGACCTTAATTCACCGGTTGAGACTCACTTTTCGTTTGCTCACTCGTTCTCTTGGTTGTACATATCTATAGCGTTATTTGGGTTTAGCACACGAGAGCATTACGTATCTCGTTTGTGCATCGTAAAATAGGAATATGGAGCTAAAAAGGAATTGCTAAACTCGAAGAAGAATACGAGCGATTTACATGCAAAGACTTGGAATAATAAAAGGACTGATGTAATAGGACTACTTTACATCTGAATACATTTGTATCGTTTAATATCTAAATTCCAGAGTTATATAGATCATAAAAAGATAATAAATAAAATTATTTATTTTTACAAAAAATTACTTTTTCTGAAAAAGCGATCCAATGCGATGTAATGGTACGACGATGATCGAACGGCGGATCGGATCGAGATATTTTTTAATGTCGCTCGATTATCCTTTCAATTCTCGACACGGCGCAGCATTGGCTGTTAAGATTCGCGCAAGTGATATGGGTCGTTCGAAAAATTGCTTTGAAAGTATTCAACCCTCTTTATCGGCAATAATATATTTTACCTTTCTTCTTCCCTTCTCTATTACGAAAAAATGTATTTTTTTCAAGGAATCAACGATTTTTGCAAATGACCGATATGTGACAATATAATCTTAATTTATACATTATTTCTCTCTCTCTCTCTCTCTCTCTCTATTTTATTTATTTAATTTTTATTATTTAATTTTTTCTTTATTGTCATGATTCTGTATTTTTGCATAAGTTCTTAGAGAGCTTCTAGAATCATAATAGACACTCCATTTACCTATCTATCTAGCTATTTACTCTAACTCTAATCTCTAACTCAGTTTTTTCTCACATAATGATAAGCGTGCAGTATTTTCGAATTAATTGCACATAAATCTTTGATTAATTTTCTAATGATACAAATTTTATTTTTCATAGAGAGTGTTATCGTTATATAAATTGGTCACGTAATTGTGAGATATTTCCATTAATAGAAATGTATGATTAAATAATACGTCACTTTAAACGGTTTTAATTTTTGATAATTGGAGAGTCAGCAGCGTATGTAATATAAAAAAGAATTAAATTAAATTCCGGACATTCTCCATGTCCTCAGTGCATCGCATATGCAAGACTGTAATTGCGTTGTAAATAGTTGGAAGCACGCCAAGCGGCCGTACTTTGAAAATTCTGTTTCTCTCTCTTTATGGCAATCTAATCTCATGTAATTATTCGTGTAAACGCCAGAGAAATACAGAACTGTAGCGAAATTTTATTAATATTAATATTATTAATATCAAAATTCTATTAATATTAATTATAAAATGTTATTAATATCAAAAAAGATACGCCGAATAATTTCTTCATTTATCAATAACATCAAGGATAACTCGATATAAAAGATATTTCAAATTTTATGATAAAATTTTAATTTAATTTTGTACAGATCGTTCAGTAATGATCACATTCTATCGATTGCAAATATTATGTTACCGGATTTTACCATCGTATCAGTCATCGTCAGATTATCCGTTTACAGAAATGATTTGTGTAGAGTCAAGTGAAACGCAATATTTGTTGAAATTACTGCCGCTTTTAGTTTCGAGAGTTAGATCGAGTGGCAAACTTTGTCATCTTATTACGTGCAACATGAGCTTACCGAAAGCTATGGTAAACCGTAAAAGTGCAAAAGCAAGAAAGTCCGAGCATGCCATTATCGGACACGGCGCCTCAGTAACAATTCTATTTTCCCAACATTGGTTTTACGTTTTACCGGCGCCAAATGCGGTATTAGTTGCGAAGTTTGGTAAAAGAGTAACATTCCTTCTTGCAGAAAGTTTACCTTCCCTCTTACGTGTTTCGCAGAAGAATAGTTTCAGAAATATTCTTTCGGAATGTAGAACGAAACCCAATGCTTTTCGCGCTCTTTGCTTTTCTGGCCAATCTCCCAGCTTACAATACAACTCCTCGGAAACGGAGAGTAAAGTTAAGATCTGATGTGCCATTTGATCGGAACTGTCGTATCGGGGATAAGATCCACTTTCAATTGTCGACATAGTCCGTTTTATAAACGGTCTTGCGTAAGTCATGAATTTTTACGAGCTATCGACGCTCGTAAAAATTGGTCATGACCTCACCTGTATATAGACACAGATATGGCCGTAAGGAATTCATGATCGATATCGGTTTGGAAGAAAATGAAGCAAGGAGAGAGAGAGAGAGAGAGAGAGAGAGAGGGAGAAGGGAGGGAGAAACGCAGAGGATGAGTGCGAGATACTTCTCCGGAAATTACGCTCTCTCCACAGAGGCAGCACTTCCGGTTCGGCTATATATAAGTCGTCTGAGTAAGAAGGAGAACCACAAACGGACATAGCCGCCCGTAAACTTTTCATGTTCAAACTGTTTTGTCTGCAGAGTTTGAAATATCCCTAAAAATACATCGTTACTAATACTGTCAGTTTAAATATACAGTTTCGCCAAATGTCCCGAATGGTTCAGTGCAGATTATAGAGAATATATATTACATAGATTTTTGGACGAGTAAATTGGGAGTGGCTTTATTAATTTTTTATGTACAATAACGAGCGATACTGTAATACTCTTAAAAAGATGTAATATGTATGTATAATCCAATGCAAATTTCGCTCGTTCACATATATTATAAAATGCCGATATTAATTCATTTTATGCGTATCGCGTAAATCGGATATTGTTTTTCAACGTTGGACATGAAACATATTTAATGAACCAAGAAATTCAATAGGTATAAAAGCAATACTGCATTCGAATTCGAGAAGTATATATATATAATATGCACCTACCAATTAATATTAATAATACTGATATAAAGTAATCAACGAATGATTGATTGTCAAAATGTTATTATTTGTTTTACCCTATGAACTATATCTAGATTTAGATATAACGAAATAGCGTTACGTAATCATTCGTTTGACGTACATCCGGGTATCGAACGATGAGACTTTCAGTTAGCAACATTTCCGCGATTAAATACTGACGGGGTACCTACATACATCTCCCTCTGGAACTTCCGATCTGTTTGCGTCCAGAGTTACTATTTATGACTATCTCATAAATTTGGACACAGAAAAGCCAATAATGTACATACTGTTAGAATGAACTTTGTTTGTCAGCACTGTTACGAGTAAAGTACTCTACGGATTATATGGTTGTGCATCAACGTTTTCAACGAGTCATTTTCTTTTTCAGCTTGTAGGCGGTGAATTCGACATAGAGCTGAATTTCGTGATACAGGACGCACAGAACATCAGGCATATGCTGGAGCTTCTCGACCATTGCCCACCCAATCTCCAGGTAAGTGAGCGACGTGATGTTAAACTAGGTCGAATTAATTACGCGCGGAAAATATCCAACGTAAATTCAGGGAGAATGCGGTGGAGAGTACCTACAGATAAGCGAGCGCGCCCGTCAACATCGCAATATCGGTAATTGAAATTGAAAATCTATTGTGTATGTGTGCACACAGACACATATTACATGTGTGTGGGTATATATAACGCGCTTTTTGCAGAGCAGTGTTTCTGAAAATGTGAAGAACATGAAGATAGAAAAGTGATTTCTAAGATCCTCCTTGGATATCATCCAGTAGAGTCAAGTTACACTATTGCGTTGGAGCTGATCGAAGAGTCTCAAACTACTCAATCTTTCCCTAGTCTCGACAGTTCTTGAAATAGACGGCAATTTATATCTCTTATAAGATTTCCCATTTCTCACCATTCGGTTTATCTAATTCCTTTAGTCGTCTGTCAACACTTTCTACAAATAATCAAACCGTGATTCCTATTCCTATTTTTATTTTGTAATAAAAATAATTAATAAAAATAAAATGTCTCTGACAAGCACCACTCAAGCACCTTTGTAAGTAGGTACGTAATTATATGTAGTACGAGACAAATGTTTAACAATTTAAATATTTTAAAATTACCGCAATCTGCAGCTCTTTGATATTTTGTCGCAAAACTTCCTTTATCGCTTTTATTCTTTCTGTTGCATTAGAATAATTCTGCTGTACCAGTTCTGAATGAACTATCTTCAATGGAAAACGGAATGATCAATACCGTACATTACATGTACGCGCTGCAAATATGTCAAATAAAATCACGGTAATTGAAGTTATACGAAAAAGCGAATAACTTTCTTTTTATAATACAATTGCAACGGCGAAATGCTGTATGATGATTGGAAAGAAAAAGTGCGGAATGTAAAGTGCATATGTACGAATTTCTGACTCTTTCTCTTTTCTGCCTTTTTCTCTGTTCGCTATTTGACGCGGAAAAAAGAGAGTGTGGCGTGCGTAGGACACGCGCAATCTCGGCGTACAAAAGGATCGGAATCCATTACGCGGCAAATTTTTCTCGGATAGAAACGAGATTTTTTTTTTCGATCACGTAGCATGAGATTTATCACCGCTTTGAAGCATCGTCCGCATCCTCCACTTTTCGTGCTTGTGAAGCATCCAGAGGCACATCGATTCGCCATGAGGAAAAAATATGATCTCGCGATATCGTACTATCAATAGAAAAATAGCCCGGTGTGTAATCTGATCGATATTGATCAATGTAGACACATATCGAGTACTGCCATATAATAACTGACCAAGAGAGCAGTGATTTGTTAAAATATTACTAGCGGCAATAAATTTTTCAGTCTATTTCAACAAATTTAGTATGAATCCTATACGAGACAATTTTTCAATACGATAAACTTTGTGAATTCTTGTTAATAAATAAAAAATATAGGTGCTTCTGATTGTTTTATTTTCAGTAGTAATTTAATTTGTCATTTTTTTGTTCAATTTTTCAATTTTAAACAGAATATAAATACCCCGAGCGGATCCATTTGATTAAAACAAACACGCAACTGTAGCTTTGAAAAATGCTTTCAACCGATATCTAAGTTCATAATGTAATATATATTTCGCGTTGATTTAACACAAACGCATATGATTAATTCTTGTAACATTTGATTTGGAACAAACAACGTATTTTCACGAAGCTTACGTGCAAAAATTAAAGAGAAAGGTTCCACAAAAAAGCATCATCTGCTATGTATCTTCGAAGTTCGTGTACGCCTCGCTTCGTTAAAAGCGGCGCACGACTTGGCGAGAAAGGAAAGTAAAGACGGCGAACTTTTGTAAATAATAGCGGGTCCTTAGCCGCCATGTCGGGTGGAGGAAAATCCGTTTACGCTTTCGTCGCTCTTCGCAAACTCATACACGACACTTGAGCCTTCGCTACAAACTTTTGGCGTGAAAGTAAATAGAAATTTAAACTAGATGGATAGAGAGAGAAAGAGAGAGAGAGAGAGAACAGACAAAGTTATGAACGTTCCGTTCTTTTGCTAATCATTCGCGGTCGCCTGTTCTTTCTATTAAAAAAATTTACTGTATGACAAAGCCAATTCAAATCCAAATCAGATTTATACAAATTTATTTCGTTATAAAAATTCTCGCACAGTTCAGTTATAAAAATTTGTAAATTCTTTGCAGTGTTGCGATTTATGCAAAAATTGAAAAGCTGTATTTGGCAACTGCGGCTAAAATGAGAATTAATTTATACGATGTAGAAACGTTCGTTTCAATACGGCAAAATCACCGTGGTATAAACGTGCGATGTGGATAGATATTAAGTACGCGGCGTGAGGATAAGAGTCCACCTATTACATACAAGACGTTTCCTCGCTCTCGGCGTTTCCCTCATATTTTTTTCGTGATATAAATTTTATGTAAAAACAAAAAAATAATTTTTTTTTTAATTTGCACTTTTAAATACTAAATATTTTATTCAAATATTTAATTCAAACGTCAATTTAATGTTATTTTAAACTAACATTCGCGTGAGATTAAAATTCTTAAACGTTTTTTCAGTATAACATGTTCGACTTTTTTTCCAATACCTCTTTATGCTTTTCCCATTGCTTGTAACTTTATTATTTTAATGCAGATACGTACATTTGTTTGGTATCATTGTTCTCTATCCAGTATTTCGGATTAAAACAATATTTTTTTACGACATGTCTGTTTTAATGACAGTTATAAATAATCGAATTAGATATTAGTGTTTCTGTACACTGTTAAATTAATAAGTCAATTTATATTCAATTTGAACCTCTAGCTCATCCATGATAAGGAACAAATTCGTGAAATATTTGTATTCTTAAACTCTTTTAATACATGCATAATTTATTATTCTATACAGAACTATTATTTGTTACTCACCATATGATGCGCAGCAGTGGAGTTGACTGTAGTGCGAAATCTATAAAATACAAATATATAATATATTCAAATTAGTATAATTCTCAAAATAATCAATAGATATTTTAGAAGAAAAATTAACGCTTGTGTAAATTTAAGAATAATAGTAAATTTTGCGAGTAACAAATGAAATAGTAAATACCTCTACGTTGCTCCACTGTCGCCTGATGCCTCCCAGGCCTCCTCCTCTTAGATTTCTTGATGACACTCGTACGACGTACGTTAAGTATGATTCCGAGACACTTAGCACTGCATTAACCACGATCTTCTGTAAATCAGCATAATGGACGAACTTTAAACGGTCGGTTGATATTATGCCAAAGTTGTATTGCGTGTTAACGTACGGAACTAATTAGGATGCACTTGTACTATTCTTAGAAAATTATCTTTCATCCTCTAGTATCTACTATGATTGCGTACAGAGAGATAATACCTCAATGATGAAGTACTAGAGAATGAGAGATAATGACTTCAAGATTACGTATATTGAATAAAATAAAAAAAAACATTGTATGTTGAACGTCAACTGATTCCTTCTGCGAAATATTTAATATGTACTACATGAAATAAAATTATTTATATTTCAAATAAATTATTAAATTAATAAACGTTTAATACACATCGCAATAAGCTTTTGTTACTCAAATTAACTCGGCCCGATAATTCGTGTTATACCGCGCTCTAAATCCGGAAATACTAGATAAATCGATGGAAAATTCCAAGCACGCGGTGAGATAATTTCGAACGGCATTGGGGAAATGATTGTCGCCCATAATACGAAGCAACAGTTTATAATTTCCTATCTCGGCTGAACCATGTAAGAAAGAGGAGAGAGAAGGAGGGAGAGGGAGGGGAAAGAGAAAGAGAGAGGACAAAGAGGAAAGGGGAGAGAGAAAGGAAGAGAGATCTCAATAGACAGTCCTTGATTTTAACATCATAATGCAAATTCACACACACACACACACGAGCAATGAGGATCGATTACGATATGATCTTACCGCGATCACGTTCCGAAAGACACGTGCGGAGCAGCTCCGACCGTTAACGACTGAAGTCACTACACCCGAACGCGCAGTGACCTTGTTTACGAAGTGTACGCGCTAAGTATTCAACCCGCAAAAATTTCAAACACTGTGTATCAATTGAGTTATGACCGTTATGAAATATTTATCGCGTATCAAGTTTATCCCGGATTATCTCCAATTCACGTCAAATTAGTAAAAAGACTTCTAATTATATATGTCGCGCACTTGCACGTATATATCTTAACATACAATATACATATAAACGTGTGTATTGATTTCTCAAAATGTTTTTGGCACGTAAAATGTAGGATTCTATCTCAAAACCTGACCTAAATTATAAATCGTCTAAAGTCTAAACTTTGAATAGCAAATACATACAGCCAAAATATATTTTATTTCTTGTGTATTTTCAAATTAGTTTTAATAAAAATGTACAACTTCGAATTAACGAAGGCTCCTCTTAAAATTAGATTATACACAGCTAGAATGTTAAAGTTTGTTCAAAATTAATAGAAAAATATTTTTTCGACCTATATTCTCGAAACTCTATTTAAAGAATTCTCTGCTTTCCACTCTAAAACTGATGCACTAATGATAAAACATTTCTTGTATCATTTCTTGGCTCTAATATCTACCATTAGAATACACGCCGGTTTTTGAAAAGCGTTACATATTTTACTATGTGTTTGCATGGAGCCATCCATCTCCTCGAGATCTAAGCCAAGCATAATGGACCAGCGTAATGCTCACGGAAGCGTATTCTACCTAAATCTCTAGTACTTTTCTGTTAGAATCTTTGAGTAGATGAACATCCTGCGGGCATCGTGAACGCAGTGACGACCGCGTTAAAGAGACACAATACAGTTTCAAAGTGCCATTTGCGATGCATTCGTATTTATTTCGCTTTGAGAAATCAACGGAAAGCTTTCTAAATGAGAAGCTCACCTATCTTGCATTTATGTCTTCAGCCTTTCAATAAACATCCTAAAGGAAAATTTTCATTTTAGAAAACA